AAAAAATGATGAGTACGGGTTCTTCCGGGGGGGAGGGGGGGGAGGAGGAAACGTGTCTACACTGTGATTTCACTTTCGAAATACCCTTTTTCGAAACAGCGATCGGATGTGACTGTGCAAAGGAAGCGTGGGATATTTAAATCCTCGCTTCATTTGCACTTTCGGTTGGGCTCATTTACATCTCCCTTTCAACAGAGGGATGTAGTCTAGACATAGCCTTATTGGCAAGCACAGATTTGTAGTATACCTTACTCTTGCTCTGCTACAAACTTGTCAGTAGATCTGTTCAGTGTGCACAGCAATAAATCTTGTTTTCTATATGCACTCTTGAGGTGTGTCTCTTGTAGTAGTCTCTTGTACTTCAGTGATATAGTAGATTCATAAATAAGATCAAGTTTAGTCTTGTTCTAAATTTTGAACACATTAGTTTTGAACTAATTTCAAAATCTGAAACTATGGTTAGTTACTGTGTAAGCAATATTAAACAAGGTTTCAGACATTTGTGCCTCCTGATTTTCTGTTTTAAAGAGCAAGAAGCAATAACTTCTTGTAGGCAAAGTTTCGAATGTTCTGCTTTCTTGCATTTTATGTCAATATAAAGAAGTTATGTCATCATGTTAATTGATGTGATGATTAGGAATAGCATAATTGAAACATTATATTCACAGACTTTATTTAATGCAGTGGGCTCCAACCTTTTTAACCACACGATTACTTTTTCAATTTAACTGCAATGTAAGATCTACCTCAAACCCAAATACCCTTGCCCCACTTCCTTCCTGCCCTTTCTTTGAGGCTCTGCCCCTGCTCCAGCCCTTCTCTGAGGCTTCAACCTGCTCACTCCACATCCCCCTTCCTCCCCCATCCTCACTCACTTTCACCAGGCTGGAATAGGGGGTTTGGGTGAAGACTCTGGTCTTGAGCCAAGAGGTTTGGAGGGTGGCAGGGGCTTGGGGCTTAGCCCAGGGTGGGGGATTGTGGTCCAGGAGGGGTTTCAAGCTCTGGGAAGGAGTTTGGGTGCAGGGAGACTCACATCTGGGCAGGAGGTTGGGTGCAGGAGGGAGTTCAGGGCTGGGATTGGTTCAGGAAGCAGATTCTGGCTGGGCACCATTTAACGGAGAGGGCGTCCAGGTGGTGGAGCAGTGGGATTAAGGCAGGCTTACCCCTGCCCTGGTTCTGCACCACTCCTGAAAACTGGCATGTACAGCAGTAACTCCATGGCACCATGTGCTGCTCCTCATCTACAGGCACTGAGCCCACAGCTTCTACTGGCCACGGTTCCCTGTTACTGATCAATGGGAGCTGCAGCAGTGGTGTTTGCAGGCAAGGACAGCATGTGGAGACCCCTGTTCTGCCTTTCTCAGGGCCTGCAGGGACGTGCCAGCCACTTCCAGGAGTAGCAGTTACAACAAGGATAATTGCTCCATCCCCGATAGGTAGGCATTTTAGAAGTCACTACTCAAAGAATTAAATTTAAGCCTAAAAGAGAAATGAAAATGATGAAATGCACAGACTAGTTAAAAACTAAAAATAACACACTTTGTAAGCAGTGAAAGAAGTAACAACAATCCTCCACACGTGTTTTGGGGCGGGAGATAAGAGTGAAGGGCAGTGTGTGTTTTTGAGAATGACAAACAGACACACACACACAGTGTGTGAGAGTGACAGAGATTTGCATTGCCAAGCTCCTTCCATCCCCTTCTCTCTGTGTGGAGATAGGGTATAGAAGTAGGGGGAGGAGCTACACCCTAACAACAGCACCCTCCTCTTCTTCCTCCTACACCCTGCACAGCAAGCAGGAGGCTCCCATAGTGGCAGTTCCAAAGCAATGGGCAGGAGCAGCAAGACAGTGAGTGGAGGCACAACTGAAATGACAGCTCTTGAAAGCTTCCTGGCCAAACAAGTCAAGATCACCTGTCAGAGGCTCCAAGATCTATCGGTAGATCCCAATCTACTGGTTGGTGACCACTGATTTAATGGGACTTGTGCTGCTGCATCTTTTCACACATTTATTTGAATTTTACATCATAACTGGTCAAATCCAGCTTCATGCACACATTCAGGTTATCTTCTGTCAATGTGGAGCACAAAATATCTTTGATGTGATTTAAATGAGAGAAAGTCTGCTTACACATATAGGTGGAGCCAAACATTGAAAGTAAGGCGGAGCTGAGATTCTACATGGTGTTGTATGTGATAGGAAGTTCTTTCCAAGTTTGCAGATTCAGATTATCATTGTGCTCCAATTTCTTCATGTCAGCTCATTTGTTCATTTTTGCCAATTCTGAATGTTGTCGAGCAAGACATTCTAAATCAGAATTCAGCTTGATTAATTTTTCCACCCAGATATCAGAGTCCTTGAAATCTGCTATTTCCATTTCCAAATTGCTGAGATGCCTAGAATGACTGTCAAACCCAGTTCTTCAGTGGATGCTTTATGTGGACGAATCATGAAAGTAGAGTACTGTGTTTGCAAAAGTCAGCAAAATAAGACTTGAATGCAAGCTGCTGCAAATCAGGTCTGTTGTTTGGATTCTCTCTCTGACTGTGTCTAGACTACATCCCTCTTTTGACAGAGGGATGTAAATTAGACATGTCGAAATTGCAAATGAAGCGGGGATTTAAATATTTCATGCTTCATTTGTATAATCGTGTCATGGCGCTCTTTTGAAAAAGTGCCATTTTGAAAGTAAAATGGCAGTCTAGATGCGGTTCTTTCAGAAACGTCAGGCTTTTTCTAAAGAGCCCGTAAACCTCATTTTTTGAGCTGTACAGGATCTTTCAGAAAAGCCTGCCGTTTTGAAAGAACTGCGTCTAGTCTGTGGTTTTACTTTTGAAATGGCGATTTTTGGAAATAGCGTCATGACGTGATTATGCAAATGAAGCACAGGATATTTAAATCCTTGCTTCATTTGCAATTTCAATGTGTCTAGTTTACATCCCTCTGTCGAAAGAGGGATGTAGTCAAGAAACAGCTTCTGATACGAATCAGAAAACATTCGTAATCTTTCAAAATATGCCAGTCTGCTCGTCTTAATATCTTCGATGAAGACAGTTAATTTTGACTCAAATCTAAACACTGCTGCAGAGGCAAGACTGTATTTCCTTGCCCTTGTAGCTTAAGGTTTAACTCATTCAAATGATCAGTAATGTTGACGAGTTAGTAAAACTTGAGTAATGAATCACAGTCAGAAAGCTTGGCATGTTTGACAGCCTTCATATAAAAAAATGGCTTAATCTCGTTCATGCAGGCTGCAAAACAAGACAAAACTTTGCCACAAGATAACCAGTGAACATTGCTGTGCATTAGTACCTCTGGGTATTCAGAATCTACTTCCTTGAGTAGTAGCTGACATTGACGATGATTAAGGGCTCTTGCAAGAATCAAACTGACAGTGCAAATGACCAGTCTCATTACATTTCTGAGTTTGGTTCCACAAGATTGTGCACAAAGTGCCTCCTGATGCACAATGCAATGAAAATTTAGAAACAGGCAGTTCAGCTGTTCTGACAAAAGAGTAAGGAATTCCCTGAATTTGCCAACAATGCTAGATGCATCGTTCATATACACAGACATATGATTATCCAACTGTATTTCTTTCTTGTTCACAAAATTCATCACAGATGTCTTCGCCCCTTGTTTGATTTTTCACTGCAGTCATGTATTTCTTCATGTATTTTCTTTGTGCGTTTGTTCCTTTTTGTATTTGTTCCTTGTTGATTTGATGGGCCATTTTCAGATCTGTCATGAACTGTTTTTGCTGATAATGTCTTGAATTTTCTGTAAGATTTTTGTCGTTGTTGTGAAACTCATCAAATAGTTCATGACAATTTTTAGCATGCATCTCTTTATGTAATCCCTGTCTGTGAAAGGGGTTCCCTTATCAAATAATGCTGTATGAGCCTGCAAAACTTGCAGAGTTTAAGCTCCCACCTTTTTGTGATCATGCCAGCATGCTATTTTGTCCAGTGTTCATTTTTCACTGCAGCTCCTCACAGGCTTTTTTCCCCGTGTGTCACCCACAGAGTATTTTGTAACCAATGCTGCATATTTTGTCATGAAATGCCATTCTAAATTCAGTTTTTTTTGTTTGAGGACAATGTCTCACTACAAATGAGACAGTGTGGAGATCCAGACTTCTCCACAAATGCATAGAAGTTGTTTTCTCCTTTTGAAAATGTTGGTACTCATCTCTCTTTCTCTTCACCATTTTTACCTTTGGGAAGTTTTTACAGGAAATCGTCAGTGCTTTTCTGGAAATTCGAGCGGTCAGTGTAGACAGCTGGCAAGTTTTTCCGCAAAACCAGAAGATTTTGCGGAAAAACTTGCCAGTCTTGACACAGCCTTGATGTTTGTGTGGCATTTAGGTTTTTGAGTAAATGGGAATACCACCACTTCTTCCATCAAATCTGGTCACTCCGTGCTCAGACTTGTCTGTCAGTTTTATTTTAAAAATACACAGGTAACCTTTCTTAAACTTCAGGAATACTCTTATAACATTTGTGTTTTTGAAAATGTCTGTAGGACAGAATTGGTGTTTGTTTATTTTCAGAAAAAACATGTTTTCATATAAATTATTCCTTTTTCAGTTGTACAATAAAATGCACAATTCTTTGCTAATTTCAACGTTGTAGTTCATTGAAGTTAGTAAGCTGATTACATGCTGTGTTGAAAGCAAATCTTTTAGCAGCAAATTGTAGTAGTGCTAATATTTAGATGTATTTGATATGGCATATAACAATCATATTGTGATATTTTAGAAAAAATACTGCTAAATCAAAGCAAGTGTTTGAGTTTTGAAATATTCTGGAGTTGAGAATATTTCTATCATTTTGGATGAAATTCGTATCCCAATAATTTTCTGTAATGTTCTTTAAATAATCTTGATTTCAGCTTTTTTATTTAACTGGCTATATTCATTTTCTGTGGTAAATATTCATGGCTACTAATGAATACAAGAGAGAATATTTTGTATAAAACATTTGGTGTTATTTTTCAGGTATTTATAGCAGCAATGATGTAGCAGTATCCTTTCCAAATGCGGTATCTGGCTCAGGACCTAGCACTCCCGTTTCCAATTCTCATTTACCTCATCAGGCTTCTAGTCACCTGCAGCAAGTGGGGGCTTTGTCACCTTCAGCTACAGCTTCTATAACTACTGTTGTTGCTACAACTCAGGTAAATCATCACAGGCATTTGGATAGGTAAAAATATTCATCTTAGCTGTTTATTTTCAGTTTTAAACCATTAAAGATTTCCCCTGAATTTGTGTGGGAATAGGTTATTGGGAATAACCACTGTATTTTTTAAAAAGAAATGTTATTTGTTGGTAATGGTGGTGATGAGTTATTGTCATGCTTACAGGGCCTATGAAATGACCATCCCCGCCTCAGAGAGTCTACAGTTTAGGTTTGAGAGTAAACAGGTGCATATTTAAAAATAAAGGAAGAATAAAGTAATAACAATATTATTGTGATATCAGCACAAGTTAGGGTATTGTAACCACAATTCATCTTGCTGTTCATAATATTGTGATAACTGCTTAATATATATTTGAGAGAGTCTGTCTAATAACTCCTCTTAAACAGTAAGAGCGAGGACCACCAAATGTAGTATACAGCTTCCTAGTATTATAACTTAAAGCAAGGTAAGGGTTTGGTTGTGTCAGAAAAATTGGATGTGCCTGGAATGGGATTGCTTCTCATAAAAGAGAAAATCGAATCAGTAGGCAGGTGAAAGGGGCTGTCAGGCAACGTACCCCTTCTCCCCTTGGTACAAGACTGTCTCACCCCTGAGCCTCCAGGTGCCCTATAGGAAGGACAGGGGGCTACAGCTCTCTCTCTCCCCTCCCTTCCCCCATTCATTTGGGAACATTGGTTTCTGTTCCCTTTCATCAGGGAGTGAGAGGAAAGTTTGCTGCATTCCTTGGTCTTGTTGGTGAACACAGAAAGCAGATGAACGTAGACTTGCCACAGCTGGGGGACATGCAGGTCTCCCCTGGCTGTATCTGCTGTAGCTGCATCTGCCATGGAGAGGTGCTTCTCACTTTGCCCCAAGCTCCTGTTGTGAGTGGGGGGTGGGATAATCCACTCCCCACAGGGCAGCCTGCATATGAACCCCTGATCTCCAGCCCAACCTCAGAGCAATGATTCAAATGGAGCATGTACATTTTCATATTTTTTCTCTCTCTCTCTCTCTCTCAATTCCTGTGGGATGATAAAGTGATGTCATTCCGTGTCCACCGGGGCCAAACCCCACCCAATCCCAGCCTGGCGATTCCCAGGGCCCACTTTGAGAGCTGGGGCTGCCTGCAGCCAAGCTCTCCTCTTTCCTCCTTTTCCCAGTGGCTGGGGAGAGAGCCATAGCAGCTGTGGCTTTTTACCCGGCCTCTTCCTGGGTGCAGCCTCTCCCCTCCCCGGAGAGCCTGGCGCAACCTTGTTAATCCTGCCCCCACTCCGTTGTCATTGAGTCTAGCCAGGACACTCCCAATGTCAGTCTCCATGAGAGTGGGGTTATGGAGGAGACAGCAGCAGTGGCCAGAGAGACGGCCATGCCTGCCAGTCAGGACCTGCTCCTCACCCTGGAGCCAGTCCTCCCCCTCCTAGGATGTCTCCCAGGCTTTGGACGAACCTGGAGAAAGCACTTCAGTTGAGTTCTGTAACTTTCCCTATATACACACAGCTGTTCCCACTTACTGCCGGTCGCCAGGGAGGGCCCAGCTGTGACTGGCCTCCCTTCTCAGGATGGCACTGAACTATTTGTAATAGCAACATGTGTGTGGTGCCACCCCAATGCGTCTGCTCTGCTTCCTGGACTTGTAGGCCTGCTGGACCTCTTCTATTGTCATCCAGACCTGGTCAAGGGTCCAGGCGTGGCTTTTGTTGGCCAGGCTGGTGGTGGCCCTCCAACCATAGACCTCAGCATTCCTTTTCCTGGTGTGGAGGTGCCGGAGTTTGGTCTCCTTCTCTCACTTCTCGATGAGGTCCAGACTCTCCCCACCAATGCAGGCCAGAGCTCTCAAGCATCTCTGGCCAGTGACAGCCCTCAGAGGGAGTGTTGAGGTCTGCCATGGCTCCGTTGGCTCTGGCTGTATGGCACAGGGTTTGCCATGCTGGCCATATGCCACAAGCTCCTCATCTTTTTTAGCAGTGTCCCTGTGGGTGCTCCACCGTAGGTGTTTGGGTGCTGCAGCGCGCCCGATTGGAAGATTTCAATAGCAGTGATAGTGACAGGTAATTCACACATGCGCAGCACACTATACGCTCCAGGCAGCTAATGCTCATGCACGGGCTACTATCCCTTCAGTTCCTTCTCTGCCACCACCGGCATTGGTTGGAACCTGCAGTGCGCTCTACACTGAGCTCTTGAGACAGATAGTTAGCTTTGTTATCATAGATTTTAGTTAGCTTTAGCCTTCAAACTGTTTCTATTTTACTTTATAGGAATAAAAAAATTTTTTTTTCTTTGTGATCAACCATGGAGCCACAGATATGCGGAGGCTCACTGCCTTTGGCTTTCCCCTCATGGGGATCGGCCCAAAGGGGTTCTCTCTCCGCATTTTCATTTCATTTACATTGTTCCAAGAAAAAAAATTCCTCGGAAAGCTCCTCACGACACTCCCCCTCCCTGACTCACACCACAGTCTGCTGGCTTCGATCGCTATATATTTTTTGCCACTTGTATATTCTGTGCTCCCAAGGGCATTCATTTTATCTCCGCTGCCTGGGGGAGAACTTCGGCATGATTCATCGTGCCCATCATAGATGCCCTGACAGCTGGGGCACACAAAGCTAGAGAGCCGTAACTGAAACTTCTCTCACTTGAACCGTCACTTAAACCAAATGCAGACCCGGGGTTACCCTGAATCCCTGCTTAAACCCTCACAACGACGATGTCACGTAAGGCAGCTCTAGTGGTTTCAGCTGCGAGCTTTGCAACCTCTAAACAATCTAAGAGACCACATGCAGACACTAATAGGGAATCCCTTTCACCTAAGAAAGGGAAATCCCAGAAATCCAAGCCAGTTCTGCCCCCTATGGGGGCTCCGGACAAGAGCTTACCGGGCTGTGATCACTCACTACACCCTGAGGGTCCCAGGACCTGGCCACAATGCCAAAATAGGCTAACAAGCCTAAACCCCCTGTGGCAGAAAAACCCAGGGCTAGCCCGGTAAATCTGGCATACTCAGCACTGTGCTTCGCTATTTATAAAAATATCAGTTTCACAAAAGCAGCACACTCAACACAGTCAGCGCGTGCGCCTTCCCTGGTACTGAGCTAGTCAAAAGGCACATTACCTCCTGCCTACTGTGTCTCCAATCTTTTCTTTTATATCTGCAGACCAGCTAAAGCCACCTCACTACCCACAACTCCACCTTTCAGTACTGATGCCTCCTCAGCACTAGCCAGGTTCTCTCCAGCAACTCTAGCAGCTTCTGCACTTCCTTTATGAAGTGAGGAAGAAGCTGCCTCTCTTCTAAACACCATGTTATCCCCTAAGAAGAAGACGGTTCAGCCACAATCCATTATACCTCTGTGGCACCTCACCCAATGGCTACCGCCACCTATGCTCATGCCTCCTACTTGGTCCTATTGGGATCCCTGGGCATCTTTCTAAACACACCAGCAGCAGCAGCAGCAATACCATCATGCGGAACAGGTCCACTCGAGACCCTCATCGGTGACCTCCGTAGATGTGTTTGGGTATCAAACCGATTTTGATCACCCTTTCAGGGACAATGACTCTGATTCATCTCACCCACCAACTCAGTTGTCTTCTTGCCCTCTGGAGGATGCCTTCATGCTATCGCCTCCTTTAGCAGGTAATGATTCCAGGATTTTCCAGGACCTCTTTAAAAGGGTAGCTCATGTATTAGAAATTTCATTAATGACACAGCCTGACACCCAATATAAGCTCACCAGCATCTTACTCGTCACACCAGCGGTTAAATGAGTGTTACCCATGGACTCTGCCCTCATGGATCCCGCTAAATAACTATGGCAAACACCCGCCACCATATCCCCAGTGGGCAAGAAGGCAGATAGAAAATACTATGTCTCCTCTCAGGGTATGGAGTTTCTCTTCACACACCCCCCTCCCAATTCCCTCATAGTAGATACTGCTAACTAGAGGACCAAACACACCATAGCCAAATCCACTCCTTTGATAAGGAATGGAAATGACTTGACCTTATGGGCAGAAAAGCCTACTCCTTTCTCCCTCCAGCTATGGATCTCAAACTATACTGCTATGTTAGTAAGATATAAACATCACATTTTTGAACAGATATCCATTTTTATTCAATATATTTCAGAACAGAAAAGGGAACAGTTTAAAGCCAACACAAATGAGGGTGCCCCAATGGCCAGGACAGCTCTACAGAGCCCTTGACTCTGTTGACACCTTGCAGCTTGACTCCACTTGACTCTTACAGCCGTGGTCATGATGAAGAGAGCATCCTGGCTCCACATCTAGCTTTCCAAAGGAAGTCTAGAAAAGGGTAGATGACCTCCCATTTGAGGGCCTAAAGCTCTTCACGGAGTCTACTGACACTTTATTGCACTCCTTGAAAGACTCTAGGGCCACTCTTCGTACACTGGGCATTCAGGTTTCTGTGTCAAAACGAAAACAAAACAAAGGTTATACCCTGAGATACAGATCTGCCCTCTTTGCTCACCCACAGAGGCAGTACAACTAGAGAAAGTGACACCGCCAGGACATAAGTCTACCCCGTCAACCAGCTTGCCCTGTCCCAGCCCTCTAATAACAGACAAACGTTTTGAAGCTCAGGTCGGAAGTCGTCAAATTCATCTTTCCTCTCCTGTCCTTCATGCCAGTATCCACACAACGCCTAGCACCTTTCCATCATCACTGGTGCTTCATAACATTTGACAAGTGGGTCCTGGACATCATAAAGAGTGAGTACTACATATCTTTTCTGTCCATCCCAAAACCCCAACCACCCACCCCATCCTTCTTCAGGGACCCATCTCAAGAGTCTATCCTGTGCCAAGAAATCGACCTCCTTCTCTCCATCAAAGCAGTGGAACACATTCCCCATCAGTACCGCAACACTGGCTTCTATTCCCAGTATTTCCTCATCGAAAAGAAGTCGGGGAATGGAGGCCAATCTTAGATCTCAGAGGCTTCAACAGGCATGTTCTTTCCCAACACTTCTG